CTATGAGCTGTGATGCCACAGCACTCTACCCAGGGTGACAGCTTGAGGGTCTGTCTCAAAAAAAAAGAACTTTAGATCTTTAGCTCCCAATTCACAGTCACCTCACACCTGCTTGGATATGTTACTAGACTATGTTGATTTTTGTGTGTGTGTATATCTTATTCAGAGTTGAAACTTAATCATAGATCATGAAATCTGATGGGCTGGGTGAGGTGGCTCGTACCTGTAACGTGAGCATTTGAGAGACAGAGGTAGGGGGATCCCTTTGTTGCAGGAAGACGAGGCCCAATGGAGAGAAAGAGCACCCAAACACCATGTTTATAAGAGGAAGGGCTTTATACACCAGCCAGGAGCTTATGGCATAGAATTCCAAGTGGCTGCACTCCCCAACTGGCTTGGTCTTTCCCATTTTATCTCCATTCAAAAAGTTCCAACCCATAGGTACCTTTTTCATTGGCCAGTTTGAATCACGCAGGAGATGCTATTCCAGTTCCCACAGAACTACAGGATTTCACAGAAGTGGAAATTTCCAAGTTCTAGGAAGTTAAGTCTACAAATTCCCAAGACCTGAGTCACCATGGAGAGGACCCTGTAGGTGTATCCTTGTGGTCTCCTTGAGAAGACCTGTTCTCCTAGACCTCACCCTTCTTGGGTATCCTCTCTCACCTTGAGGCCAGGAGTTTTGACCAGCCTGAGCAACATGGAAAGACCCCCATCTCTACAAAAAATAAAAAGATTAGCCTGGTGTCATGGTGCATGCCTGTATTCCTGGTTACTTGGGAGCCTGAGGCAGGAGGATCGCTTGAGTTCAGTAAGCTATGATCACACCACTGTACTCCAGCCTGGGTGACAGAGCAGTACCCTGTCTCTAAAATAAAAGAAAGGAATACGATGATAAAATATACCAACAGGAGAGAGTTTCTTTGCAGAGCAGCTATTTGCTTCATTATTTTAAAAAAACAAAAAACATTTTTTCTTTTTGAGACAGAGCCTCAAGCTATCACCCTGGGTAGAGTGCTGTGGCATCACAGCTCACAGCAACCTCCAACTCCTGGGCTCAAACGTCTCCTGCCTCGGCCTCCCAAGTAGCTGGGACCACAGGCACCCACCACAACACCCGGCTATTTTTTGGTTGCAGCCATTATTGTTGTTTGGTGGGCCTGGGCTGGATTCGAACCCGCCACCTTAGGTGTATGTGGCTGGCACTTTAGCCACTTGAGCCACAGGCACCAAGCCAAAAACATTTTTTCTTAGTAACAATCATCAGAGACTCAGTTTCTAAAAACCAGTTTTTCTTTTAGTGGAACTAGACATTGTATGAGAATAGACATTGTTCTCATGTTATTTATTTTATAATAATCATAAAGATAGTGGTTTCAAAATGAAGATTCTAAAAATATAAGTGAATCTCAGCTAGTCTCCCTTCAGGTACCTGTAATTCTTGCTTCCTCCAGCTGTTATGGTTTCTCATGTAACAGTGTGTTGATTAGCTATTCTCACGTAACAGCTTTTTAGGTACCACATACCTAAGGATGGCATCCCAGTCCTTTCCCAGAGAGGGACAAATAGGATCCTTGCCCATCCTCAGTAATTGCAAAGCCACACATAACCTGACTCCTTGCTCTATACCAAGTGGCTCAGGCAGAGCTTTTATCAGCCAAACCTGAAGATTTTAAGACAGAATTTCAGGTTGGTTGCCTTTGATTAGAGCTGTAAGTGTCTTCTGCCCAGGGAATTGCAGCCCACGTCAGTGCTGACACAGCAGACTTGACTGACACTTCACATGGTCAGGGGCTTGCTGTAAAGCCTTCGTATGAATGTCTGACAGCTGAGGACTGTGAGCTGAGGGCTGTGACCTGCTGTCCTTGTTAAGGGGTCCTGTGAATGTTGTGGGGACAGCGTGCTTCACTTTAGTCCTATCTCGTCTCCAGGTACGAGACGAGCGGCATTGGAGAGGCGCGCGTGAAGGAGGTGCTCCTGGATGAGGATGACGACCTGTGGATGGCGCTGCGCCACAAGCACATCGCAGAGGTGTCCCAGTAAGAGTACTTTCCTTCTCCTCAGTTGCTGTTGATAATGAGTGCACTCTGGGTAACTTGGGGAAACTCATCAGTGGGTGAATCGTTTCCTTGACGGGGTCACTGGCGTGCTGACTGATAGTGATAAAACCCTTCTGTTCTCTAAGCTTGATCTACTCCAGCTTCATGAAGTAGGGAAATTCATCTACTTTTAGGAGTCTTAGAAAGCATGTGTCTCCCTCACAGCTAGTTTATTCCATTGAAAGGTCCAGACCTCACTACACACAACTGGGCTTTGGTTCGTACAGCTGGTATGCAGCCTTTCCTGTTCTTACCTGCAGTTTCTGAGTAATAGCTGATGTGTATATGCTGAATCCTACCTTGCCCTGAAAATGTTTCAGAATGTTTCTAATATTTAAGCATTACTATAAGACCTTTAAACTGTAGATGACAATTCTTTTTCAGAAAGATGTGTTAATGCTGTTGTTAGTATTAAACTATGTTAATAACTGAGTACAATAAAGCATATATTAATTCCCCAAGTATGTTTAATTACTAGAAACCATACTTGGGGAAGTAATATGTGCTTTATTGTACTAAGTTGATGATACACTCAGGAAATTCATGAGGAAGAGTGAGAAAATAACACAGCTTTAGTTCTGTTATTTAGAGATGTGGTCTCCAGACTCTTTTGACTACTCAACATTAAAAAATAACTCACAGCCCAGCAAACACAAGCAGTTTACACTTGTGTGTAATCTGGCTCATTGTACCCTCAATGATTCCCTCACAATTAAAAAAATAAATAAATAACTCACAGGCTGGGCATAGTGGCTCTTGCCTGTAATCCTAGCACTCTGGGAGGCCAAGGTGGGAGGATCCTTTGAATTTAGGAGTTCGAAACTAGCCTGAGCAAGAGTAAGACCCAGTCCCTACTAAAAATAGAAAAAATTAGCCAGGCATGGTGGCAGCTGCCTGTGGTCCCAGCTACTCCAGAGGCTGAAGCAGAAGGATTGCTTGAACCTAGGAGTTTGAGGTTGCTGTGAGCTATGATGCCATAGCACTCTACCCAGGGTGATACAGTGAGACTCAGTCTCAAATAAATAAGTAAATTAAATAACCCATGTTTCTAGTAATTAAACATACTCGGGAATTAATATATACTTTATTGTACTAAGTTATGTACTTACAACATATATATGTATATTTTTTAGACATCAATTTAGACATCAAATTTCAAATTTGAAAAGAGATAAAATAAATAGGTGTTCTAATATTTTCTTTTCCCTCTTGTATCATCTGCTGGTACACTGTACCCTGGAGATCACTGGTTTAGAATATAAATTACAAAATTGATGTATCTCTCTTCTCTGAGAAAATCACTTAAAATGCTTACCTGGTGGCAAGAAAAGTCATCACACAGTCCTAAAGGAAGAATTTTACATGGCTCACGTAGCGTCTGTAGCAAAGCTTTGGTTGCTGTGGAACTTAGCCTCCTTTCATTTTCCAGGGAAGTCACCCGGTCTCTGAAAGATTTTTCTTCTAGCAAGAGAATGAATACTGGAGACAAGGTAAACCCCTGTCAGTGCTCGGATGCACTTTCTCTCGGCGAGTAGAAAGAAGCCTCCTAGGCATAGTATAGGACTAGTCAGTTAGGTCAGACTCCCACTCCACTGACTATCATTTTGTCTTATTTTTCACATTGAAAACTCAGATCTGCAGTCCTAACAAAGAGAGTTGCTTTTGTTTCTCTGAGGACTAGTGTTTACTATAGGGGATCATGTTTTATTTTCAGCTGAAAGAACTGTTAAGACTTTGTTTTAGTTTGGAGTAGAATTAGAATTTATAACCTACCTTACCCAGGCTGCTCCTTATCAACTGTTCATTAGAGGTAGCGTGTCCGTCTTAATCCAGGGAGGTGGACTTACCAAAATGCAGCTCTGGTTGCATTATTTCTGTGCTTAAAACCATTTAGTCACTCTGGTTCCCCTTAGAGTAACCCCCCTCCCACACTCACTCTCTCACACAGACACACACACTCTCTCACACAGGACTTCCAAGGCCCAGGTCATGGGCTCCTCAAGCACCTCTGTAGTCTCACCTCTGCCTTTCTCCTTGCCCACCTTCCTTTTTCCAGTGGGTCAGAGTTCTCTTGCCTGAGGCCTTGCCAGGTTCTTTGGCTTAGGCATTGAAACCCTCCTCCCCCATCCCCTGCCAACTAGTTAGGTGCTCCTGACTCGTGTACCAGCACCATCTGGAGAACCCCTCATCTCTATTGTGGCACCTTGTTTGTCTGGCTCCTCTATTAGATGTTAAGCTCTGGGAAATAGAAATTCTTTTTTTCTTTTTAAAAAATTTTTTATCCTTGCATCTCCAGCACCTAATACTGTGTTTCCCCGAAAATAAGCCCTACCCGCAAAATAAGCCCTAGCAGGATTTCTATGCATTTGTTAAATATAAGCCCTATCCCATAATAAGACCTAGTGATGGGTGTGGCTATGCAGCGTATCTGCATAGCCACGCCATGCATTTCAGCACGGAGCAGTAAGGAAGACTGGAATACCTTTTATCTGCCACAGTTCCTTTCTCCGAGCCATTTGCACTTGTACAGGTGTGCAAGCGTGTGGTAACCACAGTGGCAGGCATCCTATTGCACATATTTGAACGGCTTGGGAAAGGAGTTTATGCATCACTAACACCAGCCCCACCAACAAGATCGGCTCCCCCTGTCAGGTTCCAGAAGAAGATGACTTAACTATATTTGAATAAATGTAGATTGTTGTATTATACTTAATAAAAATAAGACATCCCCTGAAAATAAGCCCTAATGTGTCTTCTTGAGAAAAAATAAATATAAGACAGTGTCTTATTTTTGGGAAACATGGTAGTGCCTGGCATGTAGTAATAATTGAATGAATTTGTGTTGGATAAATGAATGCGATTAGATGAGTCACACAAAAAGTAAGACTGTGGACCCATCTCACCTATCACAGTGCAGATTCCACCCTCCATAACCCTCTGCAACCCTCTGCCTGTGTTCCTCCTACCTACACAACACAGCCTTTGCTGACAGGAAATGCAGACCCGATGCCAAGACTGCTTGCTCTGAGGATGCAGAAAGGCAGTGCATAGAAGAAAAAATCTTGTTTTCTCTTAACAAGAATTATGCTCTCAACCACTTTCTAGTCCAGTAAGAATAGAATAAAACATACTCGCTAGACTTCAGAGGTCAGTTCCCAACCTGTGAAACATTCACGGTATTTGAGTTAAAAATTTTTTGAGCTAGAGGCCTAGAAATGTAAACATGCACAGTCATTTCACAGACTCATTTTGAGAGTTACAGAAAATACATTTGGGAACTTTAGTGTGGGTGGCTGTCCCATCCAGCACCACAAGCCTTATGAAGGCCACCCAAGTGATCGCCCACGTGCCTTTGTTTCCCATACAGACCACCATGCGAGACCTGTCCCAGATGCTGAAGAAGATGCCCCAGTACCAGAAAGAGCTCAGCAAGGTATGGTGATCCCAGATATCTACTGTATCTGAACTGTGAGTGTAAACAGCTGCAAAAAATCTCAAAGCTCTACTGCTTTTTGTTGAAATCCATGAAATTTTAGTCATCCTCAATTTTATATTAGAAAAAAAGTGAAAGGCTCGGATAAGCAGCTTATTTCTTATTACTTTGTTTTTTCCTCTTAATCTTTCTTTTTCTTTATCCTTCCTATTCCCCTATTTTGGCAGGAGGCCTCTGTTCCTTGCCCTGTGAGCCCCTCCATGGGGCTGCCTGGGTGTCCTCAAAACATGGCTGTTGACTTTCCCCAGAGACAGTGATCTGAGAGCCAGAGGGCACAGGCAGGAGCCATGGTGCCTTGCATGTCCTGATCTCAAACATCACACAGCATTTCTTCCTTCACACTGTTAGAAGCAAGTTGCTAAATCCAGTTCACACTCAAGATGAGGGAAATTAAAACCCACCTTCTGGAAGGAAGAGTACAAAGAATTTACGGAGGCATGGTAAACCCATCATACCACCCTTCCCTCATAAAGGATTTCTTTTTCCTCTTAACTCTTTTAGAAGGTTCTTCCTCTTAACTCCCTCTTAACTCTTAACTCCCTCGCTTCTGACATGTAACATTTTCTACTTTGTGATGGTTATGTACATGCAATGTTTGTTTGTTTGCTTATTTGTTTATTTTTGAGACAAAGTCTCACTGTGTTGCCCTGGGTAGAGTGCAGTGGTATCATAGCTCACAGCAACCTCAAACTCCTGGGTTTGAGTGATCTTCTCACCTCAGCCTCCCAAGAAGCTGGAACTACAGGCACCTGCCACCATTTCTGGCTAGTTTTCCTATTTTTAGCAGAGACAGGTTCTTTACTCTTGCACAGACTGGTCTCCAACTCCTGAGCTCAAGGGATCCACCCACCTCAGCTTCCCAGAGTGTTAGGATTACAGGTGTGAGCCACCGTGTCTGGCCCCTAGCAATGTTTTGTACACAGTAGATGCTCGGTAGATCTTACATGAATCCATGATTCGTTCCTGAGTCACAAACTCCCTTGTGCTTTTTCCTAGTATTCCACCCACTTGCACCTTGCTGAGGACTGTATGAAGCATTACCAAGGCACCGTAGACAAGCTCTGCCGCGTGGAGCAGGTAGGACGTTTTCGTTCTCCTGCCATGGAGAGTCTTCTGCCACACCCATTTACCCAGTTGGATTTTAACCTCTGACCTTGAACATCCTACAGAATTATAGGAAATAGAGCTGGGAAGGCCTACTAAATCGTGTTGTCTCAACCCTCTAGAGCCAGTGCGGTTCCACCCTCTCAATGGTAGGGATTAGATTGGTCTGGAATGCTGTGCTGTTTGGATTTTGCATGCCTGATTCTTTTGAAAGGCTCTGTTTTCCCTGGAATGGCTGAAAAAAGATGTATGGGTTCTCAGCCCTAAGTTGATGGGGCTGGCAGAACTTTATACAGTGAGTATATTTTCCTCCTCCTATGGCTATACCAGCTTTGGAGCCTTCAAGGCTGAATACTGGTAGTGCAATGGAAGGTCAGGAATTCCCCCAAGGCATCAGTGAGCACAATTAGGAGTGTGAATTGAGAGTTTGGGCTTTGAGTTCTGTCTCTGTCACTGATTATTTGATATGCCTGTTTCTCTGTGTTTTATTTTCTTCCATTTTGAAGTGCTGACATTGTTCAGGGGTGTCACATGGAGTCACTAGTCCTGGCTGTCCTTTAAGTATAATAACATCTCTAAACTATGGAAAGAGAGGACATTAAAATATTCTGCAGCCTCAGCTGAAAATCTCATTTCATGGAAAAACCCAACTCAGGTTCTCAGTGTGTGATGCTAATATTTAAATCTCTGGATTGAGGCCAGCATGGAAGTTCACACCTGTAGTCCTAGCACTGTGGGAGGTCAAGGCAGGGGGAATCCAATTGGGCATGGTGGTGGTCACCTGTAGTTCCAGCTACT